GGCCGGGCCGGGCCGGGCCGGGGAGGGCGCCCGGCGGATCGAGATGGCACCGTCGCTCGTCCAGGCGTGCCGCAGCCTGGCCCTCTCAACATGGCTGCTCTCCTTTTGTTTCGTGCATCTGCTCTGCCTGGACTTCACCGTGGCCGAGAAGGAGGAATGGTACACCGCCTTCGTGAACATCACCTACGCCGAGCCCGCGCCCGAGGCCGGCGGCGCGGAGCTGCGCACCGAGAAGTCCGAGTGCGGGCGCTACGGGGAGCACTCGCCCAAGCAGGACGCGCGCGGGGAGGTGGTCATGGCCAGCTCGGCGCACGACCGCCTGGCCTGCGACCCCAGCACCAAGTTCGCCGCGCCGACCCAGGGCAGGAGCTGGATCGCCCTCATCCCCAAGGGCAACTGCACGTACAGGGATAAAATCCGGAACGCGTTCCTACAGAACGCCTCGGCCGTGGTCATCTTCAACGTGGGCTCCAACACCAACGAGACCATCACCATGCCCCACGCAGGTGAGCAGCCCGCGCGGTGCGGGGGAGGGGAGGAGCCGGCCGCGCCCGGCTTCCAGCTACTCTCTGCAAAGTCCGCGCTGCGCTTGGGACTCGCCCGGCGCCCTGGACCTGCTAAGTTTTGCTCCGCGTTACTTACGGGTGAGGGTGGGGAGGACAGGGTTGCACGGGAAGCGGGCTCACCGCGTGGCGGGAAATGCAGGAGCACTTTAGCCCGGTACCGCTTGGGAACTAGGATTCACCGGGGTGGGCTGCATTTTCTGGGGAGAAGTTGCGGTTTGGAGGGCAGAACTCGTCTATTGTTCTAGTTAGCTGCCGGTCGGCACCTGTTTGGAACCAGTGCCTCTGATAAGTCCATCCGCGCAGGGGAGTGTGCATCAGGTTTGGCCCTGCGTGCGTGTTTGTCAGGAGGTGGGTAGGGTTACCTGCTAGCAGCTCACCGCCTCGAGCTGGCTTTTCCCAGTTACGGTTCAGCTTTTGGGGAGATTAATAAGTCCCCCACCCCCTGCCGGGTTCTGCACATCATAAATAATATTGAAAGTACATACTGCTGTTCTGCCAGGCTGCCAGCCAGAGAAGCTGATGAGCAGGCACAGCGATTAAATAGTAACAATCCTCAACAAAGCGAGAAGAGCGAGTGGACATAAACTTATAACAACCGCCTTCTGTCCTTCGCATGGTCGGGAGTGGATGCTGAAAGTTTTATTTCTGGAGAGAGTGACCGGCTTCAACACAGAATAAGCTTTTGTTAATGGACACAGGGCCAGGATTAGAAGTACATTCCTCCCCCATAATTCAGCTCGATAACAGTTTGTGCCTGACGTAGGCGATGGTTTGGTGGTGGTGGTGGCGGTGGCGGTGGGGAACCCTGTTCAGGTTTGCTAGCGTAAGTCTGTAGTTCCAGCCGGTCAGTCTTCTTGAATCCAGGGCTACTGCTGTGTACAAGTGCCCTAAAAAGGAGCCTTCCCCCCTCCCCGGGGCACCTAGTGGGCAGAAGAGGAGATAGAAAAGACAGCTATATTTTCTGGATGGTGTACCCTAATCAAAAGTACTGTTTTCTTTAAAAGCCAGATTCTAATAAACAGGCTACTGAAACGGAACACCAAGCGCTGGCTCCCTTGTACAGGTGGCCCCTTTAACACAAGTTTCCAGAGAGCTCCTGTCACCTATTAGTGAACCAGGGATGCAGTTGGTTTGCCTCAGCAGTCAGCGCCAGCTGCTTCAGTCCAGGAAATTCATCAACCTTAACACAAACAGGTGGGAAAGGGAGCTGTTAGGCGTAACAACCCACAGGCCAGGAAAGAACGTGGCTGCGTGTTAATACAGAGAAGGAGAGCTAGTTTTTACTTTTTGGGAAAAGTTACCATGCACCACTTCAGAAACATTTGATGTATTTCTTTGAGCATAGTAGTTTTTTTAGGGGACAAGACTGTGTGCCCTTGAGTCAGAAGAGCAGTACTCAAACTTGCTGTCCCAGGGTATTAGAGATGCACATTAAGTTGTGGAAAGTAACTTTAAGCAAATGACTTAATATAGAAGATCTACACTCAAGAAGTGGGAAGGAGGCTTGAAAGAGGGTTACTTAGTTCTAAGACTCTAAGAAGAATGTTAGCTAGCTTTAGAGGATTCCTTAAGTGTTGCTTTGTGCATGAGCATGAAACCTTAAATTAGATTTCTTTGAGCACAAACTAAGGGGCATCGTTTGTTGCTGTCTAAAACCGTTTTCCAGAACTGCCAGCACATTGGACCAATTAATGGCTTGCCTGTTCTTAATGAAAGCAGTAAGCTGATTTTCCACACAAATCACTCTTAACACATAATGGGGGTAAAAGGTTTGAAAGTTAAAGGCTAAAAGAATGCAAAGGAAATTCTAGGTCTGTGTCCCAAGAGGAGTTACACTTACAGCCACAAAACTCCACATTACCTTTTGACATTTTGCCACGTGTGTTGGAGGCTGCATTGATTTCTGCTAGAATCTCATCATGAGGAAGTCATGTGGCAGCGTGGCGAGGTGGACCTTCCACTTGGCTCTGAAATTCTGACCAAATCTCCAACAGGGCAAGCTCTGGTCTAGCGGTCTTCCATTTGGTTTCAGAATTGGAAACTTTTACTTCTTTATAGCTATGTGCAGATCTAAATGCCCTTTAGGAAATGCTGCACATTTTAGATATTAATCACATATTCTTAGCACGTAAGCTGGAGTTGCAGTATGCCGCAGGATCTTTGTAGTTGGAAACTTTCAAATGCTTTCTCCCAGAAGTTAAAAATAAGCTGATGTTAAATCACCTCTCTAGGTCTTTTACTTTTGGGGCTGGTAACTTTCAGATGAGAAGATCTGATTTAGGGTTATGTGGACTATCGTAACTGTTTATGCATTTCGTATGACATGACCCTAACAACCCAGTATCTTAAAATTAAGTGAAATAAATATTGTTTTCTTCTTTTTTTCTGTAAACCCTTTCTTCCACTTGTTTCTTTTTCTGTATCATTTTGAGTTCTTGCCACTTCTGCAGTTAAGACTTCTCATTCAAAGAGTCCTCTGGTTGCTTTATTTCATAACAAGTTGCATTGTGTTCCTCAGCGTAACAGCTTCCTCGAGATGTAATTTACATATTCTACAGTTCAGTCATTTAAGAATAAAACTCATATTTGGTAGTGTATTGGTTGAGTTTTGCCGTCACCACTAATTCTGAAAACCAAAAACTCTTCTCACTTGTTAGCAGTTATTCCGCTAACCTCTAGTCAAACACGAATCTACTTTGCATCTCTATTTGTCACTTCTGTTCATTTTATGTGAATTGACTCATACACTAGATAGACTTTTGTGACTAGATTCTTTGTTTCCAAGGTCCGTTAAGATTGTCGTGTGTGTCGTTCTTTTTACTGCCTATTATTCCACTGCGTGGATGCCCTACATATAGTGTGTATTTATCTATTGATGGTTGGGGGTGTGGCTCAGTGGCTGGGCACTTGCCTAGCATGTGTGACACCAGGTGCAGTCCCCCGCACTGCAAAACCAAAACAAAACCTGCTCATCAATGGGATGCAAACTTCAGCTGCTTCCACTTTCTGGTTTGCATGAGTAATGCTGCTATCAACACTCAAGTAAAAACTTCTGTGTGCCCATTTCTGTTAGCTATGTTTGAAAGAGCACAGTTTCTGCGATACGTGGAGACTACAGCTTAACCTTTTGAGGCATTGTCAGAGTTTTTGTAGAAGCAGCTAAGCCATTTGCTTCTCCACCAGTAGTGCATGAAGATTCAAGTTTCTGCACCTCCTCACCAGTGCTTGTTACTACCTGTCTTTTTTTATTCTGCTATAGGAATGAATGTGAAGTACTGGCTTCACTGTGGTTGTCATTTGTATTTCCCTGAAGGATGACAGTCATTTGCTAACATACACTTCATCCACTTTCTGCGTTTCCTTTTGCTCCCTTCCCCCTTATGCCAGGATCATAGCAGGCAAGGACTTTCAACTCATACGTCTTTTTCCTTGGGGACTAGAGGGGGGATGATTTATGAGGAAGCTCTGCCTCTCTGCGAGGTGCAAAGACTGGGCCAGATGTTTATGTGTCCTCTGGGAAGGGTTGATGTGCATCTTCAGTGCAAGAGAACCCAGGGAGTGTGAGCACAGAGCTATGAGGAATGCAGCCTCCACCTGATGCTCCCCAGAAGGGAATATTAGGGTGCAGGTAGAGGTAGAAGCCCCACTTACCTCTTGGGAGCTGTCTCTTAATGCCTGCTGGGGCACTACCTTTCAGTGTACTCGAGGAAAGTGATGACATCAGAACTTTCTGGAGGCCTTTAGGGCCTCCAGAACCAGCACCTTGGTTCTGCGTCCTGGCGCCACTACTTTGTCATTGTGTATCTTTGAGCAAGTTATTCCAGCTCTCAGGGCTTGAGTTTCCTTGTCTGTGCTGAGGGCATAGTTGTGTCCAGCTCAGTTTCTTGCCATGTGACTTGAGTGGCTTAATGCCTAGAAAGCGTCCTCCTTTGTAGCAGGCACGTGGTGGTCAGTGTTACCACTCACAAGCAGTGACCTCAGTACCTGCAGTGACACAGAGGAGCCACGGACTGGCCCATCACACCCAGAGGCCTAGCGAGGCTCTGGCAGTCTCAGTAATGATTCTTTGTTGGCTCTTTCATGTCTTAGTGACCAGAGCAGCGATGCCCATTTCTGTTACTGCCTCGGTGACTTGAGACAGGGTCGTTCAGGTCCCGCCACTGCTTGTTAAGTATCTTAGGGTTGTCGTGGTGCACTTGTGCTTTCTCATGGCTGAAATGCAAATGTATGATCCATGCGGTAAATCTGTGTGTGTTGGCTGTCTATGCCTATGTTTCCATGTGGAGGAAGTGATAACATTCCTTTTTTTCCTTTTTGAAGGAGTGTGCCTGCTAGCTTTTCATCAATTCCTGGTGCACAGTTAAGAGGAAATTAAACCTCTTGTTGTCTGGACAGAACTTTGGAGACTCTGGATTCCTAATAGTGCCTCGGAGATGGGGGGAGGGGAGAGACCTTCGAGGAAACTGCTGCAAGGATAGGTGCAGCCCTGGGAAGGAGGGCCAGGGCGGAGCCCATCCCCAAACTCTCTCATCCCCTCCTAGGTTGGTGGCGATCCAGGGTGGGGCTCTGACTTCGTGTCTGTGCAGGAGCTGCTTGCTTTTAATTCGCAGGTTCCTGCTGCCTTTGTCGCCAGGTCTGTAGTTCCTAACATGTGCCTTTGCTGTCACTTCTGTAATGGAATTGGCCGCTCTAAGCATTTTCAGAGCTTGTATGTTTCTAACTTGTCTATGTGCACCTTTGTTTTTGTTTTCCAGTACATTTTATTCTCCCTTGCAGCACACTGTGGTGCCGTCTCTGCCAGGCGTGTCCTAAGCAAGGCCTATGTGTCATTTTCCTCCTCACAGCACACTGAGGTGGGTCCACTTGGCCTCCTCGTTTCCCAGGTGACTGAACTGAGGCAAACCCAGGTGATTTGGTCATGGAGGCGCTGAGTAGTAGAG